TTCTTTCTTTCTTTCTTTCTTTCTTTCTTTCTTTCTTTCTTTCTTTCCTTCCTTCCTTCCTTCTTTCTTTCTTTCTTTCCTTCTTTCTCGCAATTGCAGTTCACTGACTTGCCCAGGCTCAGACAACTACTAACTGTCAAGTGTCTGAGGCTGGGTTTTAACTCTGCTCCTCCTAACTCCAGGGCCTGTGCTCTCTCCACTGCACCAGACAGCTGCCCCCCATAATTTTCCAAAGGCACAAGTCTGATTAAGTCATTTCCCCTGCACTTTAGGAACTTTTAGTGGCTCCCCACCACTCCTAGGATACAATACACGATTAGCACTGAAAGCTTCTCACTACTTACCTCCCAACTATATTTCCATGTTTATTGTACATTCTTCCCCTTCAGACACTTTAATTCTAAGCAAATCTGCCTTCCTGCAATTCCCTCAACTCAGCATCCCAATTTCCTGTCTCAGTGCCTTTTGTACAAGCTGTTCCCACACCCCTCACCCCAACCCCACAGCCCTCCGGAGGTGCTGCCTGGAACACACTTCCTCACCTCTTGATTTTAGAATTCCTTGCTTCCTTGCAGGCTTAGCCCATGGGCCACATTCGCTGGGAAGCCTTTCCTGATAGCCTTCATTGATGACACTGTCTGTCTTTCCCTTCTTCAAATGACCATATATACATGTAGCTATTTATATGTGGTATCTCCCTAATAATACTTGAAAGCTCCTGAAGGCATGGGAAGTTTTTAATTTTGTCTTTGTAGTCCCAGGGCCTTGCATATAACGGGTGATTAATAGATGCTTTCTGGCCTGTAAGACGTCCTATTTTTGCTTTGCTCAGCCTACATAGATTGTTCCCTTGGTGTTTGTGGATTGTACACCACCTTGGGGAGGAGGGAGAGGAAGGAGAGGGAGAAAATTTAGAATTCAAACTCTTATGGAAGTGAATGTTGAAAACTAAAAATAAATTAATTAATTTAAAAAAAAAAGTCTTCTCTAGCACCACAATTTGAAATCATCAATTCTGTATCATGGCAGCTTTCCTTATAGTCCATCTCTCATAGTCACACATACTACTGGAAAAACCATAGCTTTGACTATACTGACCTTTGTCAGCAAGATGATATTTCTGCTTTATATTATGCTGTCCAGATTTATTATAGCTTTCCTTCCAAGGAGCAAGAGTCTTTTAATTTCATGGCTATAGTCACCATCTGTAGTAATCTCTGAGCCCAAGAATATAAAATCTGACACTACTTCAATTTCTTCTCCCTCTATTGGCCAGAAAGTGATGGGACCAGTTGCTATGGTCTTAGTTTTTTTGATGTTAAGATTCAAGTCAGCTTTTACACTCTCTCTTTCACCCTTCTTAATTATTTTTCATTTTCTGCCATCAGAATGGTATGTTCCGCATATCTGAGATTGTTGATATTTCTCCTGGTAACCTTAATTCTAGCTTTTGAGTCATCCAGCCTGGCATTTCACATGATGTACTCTGCATATAAATTAAATAAATAAGATGACAATATACAGCATTGTTATACTTCTTTTCTGATCTTAAGCCAATCAGTTGTTCCATGTTCAGTTCTAACCGTTGTTTCTTAGTCCACATACAGGTTCCTCAGGAGATGAGTAAGATGATCTGCTACTCCCATCTCTTTGAGGACTTGCTAAACTTTGTTGTGATCCACACAGTCAAAAGCTTTAGTGTGGTCAATGAAACAGAAGTAAATGTTTTACTGGAACTTCCTTGCTTTCTCCATAATCCAGCGAATGTTTGCAATTTGGTCTCTAGTTCCTCTGCCTCTTCAAAAATGCTCTTCTGGTAATTCTCAGATATTTACATAATGCTGAAGCCTAGCTTGCAGCATCTTAAGCACAGCCTTGCTGCATGTAAAATGAGTGTAACTGTTTGGTAATTTGAACATTCTTTGGCATTGTTCTTCTTTAGGACTGGGACATAAAACTGATCTTTTCCAATCTAGTGGCCACTGTTGAGTTTTCCAAATTTGCTGGCATATTTGGAGTGCAGCACTTTAACAGTATCATCTTTTAGGATTCTAAATAGCTCAGCTGGAACTCTGTCACCTCCACTAACCTTTTTTGTTATCAGTGCTTCCTAAGGCCCACTAGACTTCATTCATGTCTGCCTCTGGATTAGTAACCACACCTTTGTGGTTATAGGTAGTATCAAGATCTTTCTTGTACAGTTTTGTAGATTCTTGCCATTTCTTCTTAATCTCTTCCGCCTCTGTTAAGTTCCTGCATTTTTATCTTTTTATCATGTCCATTTCTACATGAAACATTACCTCGATATCTCTTTTTTTCTTGAAGGGATCTCTTGTCTTTCCCATTCTATTGTTTTCTTCTACTTCTTTGCATTGCACATTTAAGAAAACCTTATCTCTCCTAGCTATTCCCTGGAATTCTGCATTCAATTGGATACATCTTTCCCTTTTTCCTTTCCCTTTCCTTTTTTTCTCAGCTTTTTGGAAAGCCTCATCAGACAGCCATTTTGCTTTCTTACTCTTCTTTTTCTTTGAAATGTTTTTTGTGGCTGACTCCTATATGGTATTTTGAACCTCTGTTCATAGTTCTTTAGGTACTCTATCAGATCTACTACCTTAAATCTATTGCTTTCACTTCATATTCATAAAGGATGCTATTTAGGTTATATCTATGTGGTCTGATGGTTTTCTCTATTTCAATTTAAGTCTGAATTTTGCAATAAGAAGCTCATGATCTGAGCCACAGTCAGCTCCAGGTCTTGTTTTAACTGCCTGTATAAAACTTCTCCACCTTTGGCTGCAATATATATCATCAATCAGATTTCAGTATTGACCATCTGGTGATGTCATGTGTAAAGTCACCTTTTGGGTCATTGAAAAAGTGTTTGCTATGACTGGCAAGTTATCTTGACAAAACTCTATTAGTCTCTGCCCTGCTTCATTTTGTACTCCAAGGCCAAACTTGCCTGTTATTCCAATTATTTTTTGATCTCCTACTTTAGCATTTTAATTCCCTCTGATGAACATGACATCCTTTTTTGGGTGTTATTTCTAGAAGATGTTGTAGGTCTTTATAAACTGATCAACTTTGGTCTCTTCAGTATCAGTGGGTGGAACATAGACTTGTATTACTGTGATGTTTAATGGTTTGCCTTGGATTCAAATAGATATGATTCCGCTCATTTTTAACATTATACCCCAGTATTGCTTTTCTCCCCCTCTTATTGACAATAAGGGCTACTGCATTTCTTCTAAGGGATTCTTACCCACAGTAGTATATGTAATGATCACCTGAATTAAATTCACCCATTCCCTTCCATGTATACCCAAGAGGTGAATGTTTCATCTTTCCATCTCCTGTTTGACCACATCTGGCTTGCCTTGATTTTTGTACTAATCAACATACTTTTGTCCTTTTTATGGAATTGTTTACTCCAGTCTATAAAAAGCAGCATCACAGTCTGAATTGGGCCTGCTGCACCCAACTGCCTGCTGCCTTGGTGTGCTAAATAAAATATCTTTACCTTTCTTTTCCTGAGTTTGTCTCTAAGATTTCTTTTAATAGGGCTAAGTGATGTATGCTTCTTCTTAACTGATTTGGAAATATGAAGCTAGTTTTATAATTTCATAGAGCCTAGTATTTCCTTCTAAGAACCAGATTTCGATGACTAACACCAGATGAAGTGTGGTACCTTGGGCTGGTTACATTTTAGACATGTCTAGAGACTCCTGGTGCTTAGCATAATGTCGAGTGTGACAATCATTAGTCCCTTCAGGGTGTGCTGGAGCCAACTAGAACCAGCTCTGTCCACTGTTAGCCTACTGTAAATCTTCAGTTTGAAGATTAGCAAACTATAAATCAGCACTTATTTTATAATTTTGTGGATTTCCACACATAAGAAAGTGATGAGGAAAATGTTAATAATGCAAATGAAATGTAAAAGTATGTGAGTATACATTTTATCAGAAAGTGGGTTATTAAACATTTCCCAGCATACCTTTGCCCCTCTTCCAAGACAACCAGTCTCAACCTTGTCTGAATGACTATTCTACAAGTCAATGATGCTTTTTTAAGGAAAAAAAAAACTTCTTATTAAAGTAATATAAACCATTGCTTTCTAGTTATTATCTTAATAGATTTCCCCCTCCCCAGCTCAACCCTTTACCTTGAGGAACGTCAGACAGTCTTGGTTCTCACTTTTGTCCTTATCTCTCAAATCAAAGTTGTAAAGAGCCCGACAGAGTGGGGGAGGTTGTGGAAGCTGCTTGATGACCTCCACTGAGCTGGTGGGGAAGATTCCACTGATGCCATTGATTTCTCCCTGGTACCAGTTCTCATCAAGCTGTCTTCGAAGGAGGATAATATCTCCCTTGTTGAACCTCAGGTCACTTGGGTTCTGCCCTCTGTAATTGCATAGGGCTTTTGCTCTTGGCACCTGTGAGTAGACAAAGCAGAAAATTCTTTATCTGACTTACCCCCAAAAAAGAGAGGTAGCATGGTGAGATGACATGCACTTTGACCTAACAATGGTCTAGCCTTGACTGACTTCAACTGACTGTGTGACCTTGGGTAAGTCACATAACTCCCCATGTCAGTTTTCCCTATCACTAAAGCACAGGTAATTATATGAGTTTATCTTCCTCACAGATTGCTATGGGGAAGAACTGAAATAGTAAATATAGAAGTACTTTGAAAAAATATGTAGTACTATAGGAATTCTATTATTTTGTTGTTGGTTTGTTTTTCTGCATGCATAACTTTTAACCAATGTCAACTGGTCATCACTCAAAATAATTCATCAATTCTGTCACAATTTTTTTAAACTGATTTTTTTTCCTTATTGAGAGATATTAAGCTCCCAATATAGCTTAAAGACTTTTTGGGCTTTTCTAAGGTGCTTGGTTCTTCTTCAGAAGCTAAGGTCGGGTTGGGCTGAATCCTCACTTCAGCCAGCCAACACCCCTACAAACAAGTTTCTCCTTATCCATCTCCTGAAATGGCCATCACCAAGCTCACTTGGATCTCTCTGCCCTCATCCTTCATGATGATGAGGCTCCAGTCATGGAGGATAAAATCAATGCCCTCATTAAAGCAGCAGGTGTAAATGTTGAGCCATTCTAGCCTGGATTATTTGCAAAGGCCCTGTCCAATGTCAACATTGCAAGTCTCATCTGCAATGTAGGAGCTGGTTGGACCTTTCTCCAGTAGCTGATGGTGCTGCCCCTGCTGGAGAGGCTGCTCCTGTTAGCACAGTTGCCCCAGTTAAGGAGAAGCAGAAAGAGGAAGCAAAAAAAAAAAAAAAAAGGAGAATTTGAGGAGTCTGATAATGACATGGGCTTTGGTCTGGTTGACTAAATATTTTCTGTAATATTAAATAAAAAGCTTAACTTAAAAAAAAAAGACTTTTTGGCTAAGTTTGACAACCCAAATGGAGTTTCATAGAGATCCCTCCAGTGTAATGGATAAATTCATTTTGTTTTAAGTTATCTTTCTTATTTTATTTCTATTTTCCTGAGATGATGAAATAGTCTGATTTCATGCCAGGTATCCTGGCTGCTCATGAGAGAAATGCTGAAGGTACTGACCGAACTCTTCCAAGGATCTCATGAATCCATCATAATTATTTCAAAAGGAATTTTGAACAACCCTCTGTGGCTTAGGGATATACAAAAACTTGAAAATTCACTTTGCAGATTGGATTAAGTAGTTGCATCTTTCTATCAAGCAAGCCCCAGGAGAGAGAGTGACAGCTAGAGCCCAGGGAAAGAGCAAAGGAGCTGGGAACAGAGGGAGTGGAAGGGGGCAGGGAATCCAAGAGAGTAAACCATGTAGAGCAGGTTCTGCCATCTATGCAGGCAGCCAGCTATGCTGGGAAGTCCTTCCTTATCCAGAAAAGCTGCGGACAAAAGCAGGGGATTTTCAAGGGCTGAGGCAAATCTGCTAGTTACAGAAGGGAATAACAATTGTTAAATGAGCTGCTGTAAAATCATCACTTTAGAAGCGGCCCTGTACAGCTTTGTGTCTCTAGTATTCAACATTCATCCATTCACTCACTAATTCGTTCATTCAGCAAACATTTATTCATAAGCCTCTACTATGTATGGGCAGCTATACGGTTCAGTGGATAGAGCGCTGGGCCTGGAGTTAGGAAGACCTGAGTTCAAACCCAGCCTCAGACACTTAGTAGCTGTGTGACCCTGGGCAATTCACTTCACCTCTGTTTGCCACTGGAGAAGGAAATGGCAAGTCATTCCATTATCTTTGTCAAGAAAACCCCATGGCCAGTATTGTTGTGCTATGGTCAATGAAGAGTCAGACACAACTGAACAACAATATGTGGATTGTCAATTTGGTGTGGGGGAAGATAGGAGTTAGGACACAGCACAGTCCCTGCCCTTGGAACTTACCATCTAGTAGGGAGATAAGACAAGCATAAATAACTTTAATAGATATTATCCAATAAGTACACAGGAGGAGTGCAGAGCAAAATGCTTTATGAAATCTGAGAAGTAAGGTTGCAGCTGATGTGGCAATCAGGTTAATCTGAACAAAAGAGGAAGGTTTTTTCCTTTAGTCATTTGTCCCAAGGCTGGCCTAGAAGCTGATGAAGGCTGTTGCTCATAGTAGAGAGAATGTTAGCCTGGGAGTCACAGGATAATAAATCTGGATCTGGAAGAAACCTTAGAGATCAAGTCCAACCCCCTTACTTTACAGAGGAGGAAAATGAGGCTGAGAGAGGAGCAGACTTGACCAAGGTCACATGGAAGGCCTTGATTCAAATCCTGCCCCAGACACTTACTTGCTTATGTGTTAGCATGTCACTTTACCTCTTTCAGACTTGGTTTCCTCATCTGTAAAATGGGGGTAATAATACCAGTCCTATCTATCTCACAGGTTGTTGCAGAACCTCCGATGAGATAATGATACAAGGAGCTAGTATTTATATAGTGCTTTACGACGACCACCGAGATCTACACATTATCTCCTTTAATAATAGAAATATCTATGATACGACTTAGAGATACTAGTTAGTATCATCTACCACCTTAGGGGTACTTAGTCAAAAAGGAATCACAAAGTAGGTGCTTAATAAATGCATATTGAATTAACTACCCAGCTGCAATTGGCCCACTCCCACCCAAATCACAATGCCAGAATGGAGTTTTAAAAGCATGTGGGGGAAAGCCAGGGAGCCTCTTTCCCTTTCCCATTCTGAAAATGATGGCAAGTGCAGGTGGCGCATATGGTTTAATGACTGCTGAGCAATTACACCCCCAACTCAAATTTCAGAAAATGTTTAAGATTCTTTGAAGACACTTGAACTTTGAAATCCCCAGGTAGAATTAATAGCAATACCACCTCCAACTGCAGCTGCCACCTCCTCTTCTCTCCCACTCCCCTCAGTATGGAGTTGGGCTAAATGAATTTCTGGTTGCTATTTTTAATGTGAAAATCCTATTCATTGGCTCAAGCATCATTCTGGGCAGTCTCTCCCCTGGGCCACTCAAGCCCATCCTCGTTCTTGCAATGATGCTTTCTTTCTCAGGCTGCAGAAAGAAATAAGGGCATGAAACGAAAGCCACTTAACATGGCTTTTCATCACAAACTTCATCCAGGGCTGTGCCTTGTAATGGAAATGCATCTCTGGAGCCTTGACAATTTGTTCTCCTTGCAGCTGAGACTATTAGCATGAATTATTTAACTCCAAGGCCCTTGAATAAAAGTTAAGCACCTGAAGAGACTCAGATGGCTAATTCCACCCCATCCTAAATGGTTTCCCTAGGGGAAATGGCTCAAAGACCCCAATAAAATATCACCTGATGTATTGTTTGTAACTCTTTTTTATCGTCTGTAATTGTTTTCTTTCCCTACTACCGAGAAGCTTCCAGTCACCAAATTGCCTTCTCGCTATTCTTCACACATGGAGGCTGTCCAAATTGAAGTTTAATGTGTGTCTCAAATGGAGGTGGCATTCCATGCTGAGGCCACAACCGGTAATGATTTAGTTCAGGGGCTCCTGGTCCCTACCTAATTTGCTCACCTGGAAAGGATGAGGAGGTGTCAGCGAGGATGGTACACTTGGTATTCTCTTGCCCTCTTTTAGAGTGATGGCAGGACTATGGGTATGGATATTACATATGATATCAGACATGGTTAATATTTTGGTTGGTTTTTCTGAGCTACTTTTTTCTTTTTTGATCTTTGTTACAAGGGATGGCTCACTGGGTAAGGGAGGGGAGAGGGATACATTCAAAAAGAAAGGTGATGTAAAAATAAAACATTAAGAAGAAAATAATGTTGATGAATGCACAGAAACAACCACCCATGCCTCTTCATATAGAAAAGATGCCCCCAATTCCTGGTGCAGTATTCCCACTGGGAATGCCTTGAATTATTAACTTGGTGATTATTGTTGTTCAGTTATTTTCGACTCTTCAAGACCCTGTGGGGCCACACGACACCAACACTGTCCGTGGGTTTTTCTTGACAAAGATACTTGAGTTGTTTGCCATTTCCTTCTCCAGTGGATTAAGGCAAACAGAGGTAAAGTGACTTGCTCAGGGTGACACAGCTAGTAAGTGTCTGATGCTGGGTTTGAACTCAGGTCTTCCGGACTCCAGGCCCAGCATTCTATCCAGCATTCTACCTGCTGAACCACTTCACCTGGCTGCCTTATTAACTTGGTACACCAACCAAAGAAGACAAACAAAGTCCATGTGGAAAGGTAAGCTATTAAAAAAAAATAGTGTGTAAGAAATACAAGAAATTTAGACTGTTAGTTGATTACCACTGTATATGTTACATTCATACCTCTCCCCTCAGAATGCAAATTCTTTGAAGGCTGAAACTGTCTTTTATTTTCTCACTGTATCCCCAGTGCCTAGCTTAGTGCCATGCAATTTTTCTTCAACCTAGACCTGAGATTTTATTGATGGAGAGATCTCCTGGCTAGGAAAGCCTCTCTATTAATGCAAATCAGTCATTGTTCTGCAACTTAGAGTCACAGAGAGCTGCCTGAGGGTCAAACAGCGTGTATGAGTCAGACAAGACCGTAGGTAGTCCTGACTTCAAGGCAGCCTCTCCACTCTTCTAGTGTTACTTCTCACCACAGGGGTTTCTGCAGAGTGTGCGTGTGATCAACGGCAATTGTTGCGTGGCTCTGAGAAGAGGCCCAGCCAGGCCTGTCTGGAATTCAGCAAAAATGGTGGCTTAGCCATCCGTATTAGGATCAGAGATCACACAATTTTAGGATTGGAAGGGACCATAGAGGCCATCTAGTTTGACCTCCCCCCAGTTTTAAAGATGGGGAAACTGAGGTCCAGAGAGGTTGAGCGACTTGCCGATGGCTGTACAAATAGTAAGTTGTGGAGTCAGGATTTAAACCTAAATCCTTGGGTAGCTAGATGGTGTAATGAATAGAGCCCTGGGCTTGGA